TCAGGATAGGCAAGGATATGCTGCAGTAACAAATAACACACAAATTTTGATGGCTTAAAACAACAAAGATTCATTTAATGCTTACACCACATGTCCCCTGCAGGTCTGTGGGGGCTCTGCTCTGCCTCTTCTTCCCCTGGGACCCGAGCACACTGAGCAACAGCTGTCTGGAATGTAGCTGGATGTAGTGGCAGAGGGGACAGTGAGCTCTGCAGGGCTGCACACAGGAAATTAAATGCTTTGGATGGGAAGTGATACACTTGTACTCACAACTCATTGGGCACCTAATGACATGGTCCCATCCCACTACAAAGGAGCTAGAAAATGCAATCCTACTATAGTCCTAGAAGGTAATGACCAGGAAAATGTGTTGCCATATCCCAAGTATGTTGCCATATTCCAGTTGCTTTGTGCACATGTGAGACCGGTCATGTTTTTGAAGGCAGCGTCCAGCCTTCTAGCCCTCCACTTGGCAGCCTAACCATATGGGGCACCACTAAGCAACCAAATGCAGGCTCCTTTGGATTGGCTGCTGGTCCTGCCTCAGGCACTGAGTGTGCCCACCCCCTTCTCTCGGACCTCCTTTTTTGACCCCCCCGCAAAGTGAGGCGGCTGGGACTAAAGCTCCCCCAAGTTCCATGCAGCTCGTAGGGACGCACAACAGGTGAGTTACTGAGAAATTAATTGATGTCATCTCTGAACCCCAAATAAGAATAAAAGGAATACCCTCTCCCTCTGCCACCTTTGCAGGAAGGTCACCTGTGACTGCTTCTGAAGCCTGGCACCGGTACCCCCAGGGGTCTGGTTAACAAACTTCCTGTTTTAGAAAAAAAAAAGAAGAGGGAAAGGAGGGGGCAGGAGAGGGTCTCTTGGGAAACTCCCTCAGCAGGCTCATTTCTGAAAGGCCTAGGACTAGGGAAGGGATTTTGGATTTCCCAGGGGCAGAAAGGAAAAGAGATTTCGGCTTTGGAGGAGGGAGAGAATTGTTGGATCCCCACAAACTGAGACAAGACAGGTTGCAGATGCCTCCCAGTGGCAGGACCTTGGGAGGGGGGCGTGATGGGTTCCCGGCGGAGACCGGCCACTGTACCCGGAGCCCCCGGACGAAGCCTGGATCCAGAGCTGCAGCTCCTGAGGGCAGGGGCCATCCAGAGCAGGGGTGACAGAGTGACCGGGGCACACTGGTGCTGTCGTCTTCACTGCCAGAGGACACTGGCTCTACGCAAAGGCAGGTGAGCCTCCCCCCTTTTCCAGGAAACCATAAAAAATGACTGAAGCTGGACTTTTGCTGAAAATGGTTCAGTAGGAGCGTAGGGTTTACTTGTGGCGGGGCGGGGGGGGGGGGGGGCGTTTTTCTTACCTCAGTTTCGTAGAGCAATCTGTGAACTTAAATTTGAATTCCGCGTGACATTCTTCATGATAGGCAGGAAGTGTGATAGCCAACGCGGGCCCAGCAGACGGTCGCACGTCGGTTAAAGCCTGGCCCCTAGAGCGTGCGGGGGCCTTCCGACCGAATGAGGTAGGCGTGGCACGCTGGCAGGCAGACACGCACGCACGCCGACAGCTAAAAAGGAAGCAGGCTGGAGGAACCAGATTATTATTATTTATTGTGTGTGTGTAACTTTTTGTTATATGCTGGGCACTGACCACCTCTTTTACTTTATTCAGCAACACTGTTGGATAGGTGCTATCGTGAGTGTCCCATGTCACAGGTGAGGACACTGAGGCACGGGACCTTTCATACCTTGTATGGCGTGCTGTCCCTCCCTGGAGCACGCCCACGCCTCTGCTCCCTCTCTGGCGAGTGTCTCTGAAACTCTTAAGGGCCCCACGGGACTTGCCGCCTGGGGAGCAGAGGGCAGCGGCAGCGCATACTAGGTTAACGCCCCGAACCTGTCTCCAAGGCCCCTTTTCTCTGATTCGGCCGTGAGCCCCGGAAGTCCCGCCTCAGCTCTCCTGTTGCTTCTTCTATTCTAAGCCTGTCCTTGTTTCACTGTCCCCAGCTTTAATATTGCACTCTCAAAATCAAAAGAAGAAAATAACTTGTACAACACACACCACTTGTAAAGGCTGAGGTGACATTTTGAGCCAAGGTATGCCAGATTCTAAAAGCAGATGGAGGTGTCAGACTACCAGCCAATGCCACTTGGAGCTCAAATATAGCATGTAAGTTCTCCTCTCTTCGCCATGTGGGATGGGCTGGGGCGGGGGGGCGGTGGGCTCAGAATAGAGGGTAGTGGGTTCTGAGCGTGAACTCTGGCGTTGGCGTCCATCTGGGGCCCAGTCCTTATTTGTTGAGCCTGTTTCCTCTGTAAAGTATGGAGGAAAAGATCTCATAGAATTTACTAGGAGGAGTAAATGGAATAATGAGGTAAAGCGTTTAGCACAGCATCTGGCATATATTAAATGCTCAATAAATGGTATCTAAAATAACATAATGGCAATCATAAAATAAAAACAACAAAAAACAGGTACTTGTGCTGCAATGCTTTTTGCTGGTCTCTCACAGTAAGTAAATCCTGGAGACAGAAAACTCAGCCTGGTAGGTAATTAAATAAGTTTGGGATGAGGAGTCGCCAGTTTTTCTCCTTCTGGAGAATCTTTGCAAAGTCAGCAGGAATCTGAGGCCACATTTCTGAACGGGATAAAGTACAGTGCACATTACGCTCGCTTAACAGCATCAGCCTCCTCATTTTTCTTTTCAGTTGTGTGAACACACTAAGCTGTATATACAGTTAAAAGATACATGTGCAGCTTTTAGAGGCCATGGCTTTCTCGGTCCCCAGGGACCCCTGCTGCAGGTGGGTGAGCGTCCCGGCAGCGTTTCTGCTGACAGACATCAGTCTTTGGCCCAGGCTTGCGAAAGCGACTTCTCAAATCATGCACATTTCCTCACACTCACACCTACCTCTGTTGACAGAAACTCTGCCCTGGCGTTTGCATCTTTTTAAAAGACATTTCCAGCTCACTTCCAGTGGCTTCTGCATCTCATTACGTTCCTGATAATTAGCTCTATCTCATTACACCCCAGCGCAGTTGGAACGGGATTAGTTATTTTCAGGTGGCGGGCCCCTCACTACACCTCTGCACAGTTCCAGGCAGGCTTTCTGCCTCAGCCAAATTAGGGCAACCGCTTCCAGCTGTGCGCACTTCATTCCCGCTTCCGCCTCGGCACAAGACGTCGCTGCATTTCACATCTGGCCTCACACTTATTAATTACGTACTTCTTCTAACAACAGTGCCTAATCAAGGCAGAGCCAGGACCTTTGCAGAGCCCAGGCATTCTTTGTTTTCTGATTCTTGGCACTTCATTACCTCCCCTCCAAGTTACGCCCAATTTGTTTTACACTCCTGCCACATTAAGACGATTGCTCTCAGGTGTGTGTATTTCCACACACACTTTGCCTCTCAAGCAGGATCTCCTTGAGCAGGATGCTCCGTGTTTTCGCATCCTGCTAGGATGGCCACCTTGCTGCTCTTGTCTGCCCCCAGCGGAGGGAGTCTAGCTTGCCTGAGTCCTGTAACCCTCTGTTCTTTACTGTCAAATTTCCGTGCCGTGGTCCTGGGGAGCAGCCACAGCTTTGCCTCAGAGCGAGAAGCCTGAAGGCAATGGCCTGGGTCCATTCAGAGCCTGCGAGGCGGGAATCTGTTTTATTTCTATCAACAAATGGTCCAGGGTGAACTTCTGGGCTCTGCGCTGGCCAGGGAGGGAACAACGAACAGCGAGACACGAAGTCCGGAGCTTCCAGAAGAGCCAAGCTTGGAAGAGAGCAGCAGTGGGTGGGGGCGAAGATTTCAGTTCTCCATCCAATGGGACATCTTCGGGAAGGGGAGGGGAGGGGAGGGGAGGACAGCTTTCGCAGATGGAGAAAGGAATACAAAACTCTGGGAGGACAATATCAGAGTGGAAGTTGTAGGACTCCGCATCAGAGTGAAAGTATAAGCTCCGTGGTACAAGGGACTGTCTGTTCCTGCCATTGCGTGAATCCCATATCACCTGTGCAGTGACAGGCCAATTATATTTTTTTTGACTGACTGAATGAACGAATGTATTAGCACTAAGACATTCCTGGATATGACGTGACAGAAAGAATTATTGGGATTAGTTGCCAATTCAACCCGGCTTTGTGTGAGGTTTTCTTCCCAGGCTATCTGAAACGCAAATTAGTGGCTGTCAGGCTGAGGACACATTCAGGTGAGAACGGGGTCCGGCAGAGGGGCTGAGGTGCCTGTGACGCGGTCACTCCGCAGAGGGCAGTGCTCCAGGTGGAAGGCCCCGCCCAGAATCTGGACGGCTGCCTTTCTCAAGGGTTCAGGCCGCGGGCGCTCAGGCCGGTTCTTACACTCTGTCCTATTAAAGATATTGGACATTTAGTTTTTTCTGTAAAATAAAAGACACAGTTTTCACTTTCACCAATAACTTTATTGATCTGGATAGCTTGAGTATGCTGGCTATCTCCCACGATTGGCTTCTAGTGGGTAGAGGCCGGGGTGCTGCTAAACATCTTCCAATGCAGGAGACAGCCCCACAGCAAAGAGTTATTTGGCCAAAATATCGACAGTACCAAGACACTTCACAAACCACTTTTGACACATGCAATCAGTTGTAGCACCTTCTCCATACACTGCACAAATCTTTTTTTGTGTTTCAGTGGCGTTTTTACCTTTCCTGGAATGATAAAGCATAATATGCCAAAAATGTTGCATATTTTCTTCCTTCTTCAATATTAAAATGGATGCACAAAAAAAATCATCAATTTTGATTTTTTTTTTTAATGCATGCTGACATGAGAGCTGTCACAACACAACCTAACAAAATTGTTTCGACTGAACTTAAAGACAACTAAGCACCACCAGAGCCAACGTGCAGACTTTTTGGCCAACCCAATAATAAGAGTGTCCTCATTGTCTAGTATCAGTGCCACGCTGACCATCTGGCACATATATGACCTCATGGAATGTTTGCTGAATAAAGGATACAAGAAAAACAATACACAACGTTTTAGCTTCTCAAATGTCTTTTTTAATGTTCTGTTTTCCCACCAAGACTGAGGTTGCACAAACAGTTGTAAACTTCTGGACCATTAGGGCGTGGGGAATGACCACGCTTGGTCAAAGCCCTTCCTGCTCTCCCTTCCACTTGTTTTCAGCTGTGTTGCAGTCGGTGCATGGATTTCTTCTGTGACACATCAACCATGGGTAGCAAGAGCACTTGGAGGCCTGGGGTGGCGGCGAGGCCCAGCTGGCCAGGAGCAGTGAGCGCTCACACCACCCAAGAGCGCTCCAGACACGGACATGGCCGGTGGGCGCACACAGGAGGGATGTCAGAGCTGCCCCATCTTCCGTGCACTTAGCTGAGCAGACCTGGGCTATTTCTATGGTGAGGAAGGCCTAGGGGCCCCTAAGGAGAGTAAATGAGCATCTAAGAATCTGTTACACCCAGACAACGTTTCCAGTGACATGAAAAGTCCCCTTGCCACTGTTTTCTGTTGGAAAGGATGAGAAAATCAAGACGATGGAGTCACCTTTCATTTTTCCATTTTGGTCATTAATTTGATGGCTCTTGGTATTGATACAGCAGAAATAAAATCGAAAAGGTAATAGACCAACTCATAGCCTGTATATGAGCCATTGCATGTAAAAATGCATGGTTTGACATAAAAGGACTTTTTTCCCTCCCATCCCTGAGGAAGTCCTGTTTTGGTTTGGGGAATTTGTGGAGAACTCCATCCGGCTGAGAAGCCATTCACTGGATCTTGGCAATGGAGACAGGAAGTAATGCACATATACTTATTTCATTGAATTGTAAACTGACAAGGTCAAGAGAGTAAAAATCCTACTGTCTATGTAAGAGAACCCTAACAAGCAGTTTTGGGAAGAGACTGAAACTTGACTAGCAGTCTCCTTTCCAAAGATGGTTGGGCATTAGTAATCCACACGTTCATTTTTTCAGAGTCCAGTTTGACACAACCTTCCTCCCCCTCCCACCCTAATCCATTCAGAATCGACTGCATTTAATCAAAATGTTCTGCACTGCAAACTCCCTTTGGAGTTTATGTGAAAAGCCAAAACTAAAGTGAAACAATTCCTTACACCTTCTCTCTCCACGAAGGCATTAGTGTAGAGAAAAAAAAACCAAGTCAGCTCAGAATATACCAATAACATACCAGGGAAAGAAGTAGGACTAAGTAAACAAAACTGACCATTCCCCACCCCTTGGCCCCACGCAGTACCCCCATTAAACTGTAGTTATCTTCTTATCCTTGGTGGCTTGCTTGATGGCAGCCTGCTCACAGATGATCTCCTTGAGCCGCTGCAGCCTCATGTTCTGGGTGGTCTGGTCCCCCACCCCTGTCTGACTGCGCTGCAGCAAGGTCAGGGCGTGGATGTACTCCAGCTCCGTGTACTTCACGCCCTGGTCCACCACCAGGTTCAGGAGCTCGTCGGCAGTGTTGTATAACATCTCGTAGTACTGCCTGCGAGAGTAAGACAGAACACTGCTCAGCATCTCCACTGTCAGCGATTTATGCGTGGTTTTAGTGAGAAGGAATATGCTCTTTTTAAATTACCTGGTTTGCTTATTCTGTAAACATTTACTGACCACTAGGCATTGTTCTAGGCCCTACAGTATAATGGAGAATGAGATAAGCCCAGTCTCTGTCCTCTTGGAACGCACTGGAGCTCTCTTTGTGACAGTAAGAGAAGACCCAGGGAGACCTCGCATCTTTCAGAGTTCGAGCAAGAGTTTCTCCTAATTTTGCATTCACCTCTAAAACAAAAGGAAGTACGGTACAAAACCAAGAGGGAGAAAAACAATCATTTGGCAGGCACTGCCAATAGCTTTTGTCTCATTCAATTCTTCATTCGTTCACTCGTTCGATGCAGGCTCTGAGAAATGCATGGTTTTCTACTCCATAGAGTGGGATAATAATAGTAGCTACCTCTTAAGGTTATTGGTAAAATTAATTAATCTATATAAAGCACTTAGAATGGTGCCCAACACAATTATACGTGCTCTGTAAACATTAACTATTATTAGATATATAATAATAATGTATTAAGAGTAATACAATAATGGTAAAAGCAGTACATAATGATGAGCGAGACGTGGCCTCTTTCCTCAAATAGCTCAGAGACAAGCAGGAAAGGTAATGAAAAGCAGAGAGATGATAATTGCTTTTATGCTGACAAGTTAATTTCCGTGCCTGTCGCTTCCCCTCCCTGCACCCAGCGAGCTACTCTCCCTTTTCTCAGACAAGGAAACCGAAAGCAGAGCAAAGTTAGAGGATGCGCCCAATGCCACAGAGTGAGCGGCTGTGCCAGGAGACGGGCCCAGGCTTCCGACTCTCAGCCCGATGCTCTTTTTTCATGGTCACAGCCAAGAAGAGCGGTCCAAATACCATGGGGAGGTATTAATGTTATGAATGTACGGCAGAAGAAGGAGAAATCACACGACACTGAGGGCGGGGTGAAGAATCAAGGAAGATTTCATATGGGGTAGGCTACTGCCAGGCAGGTTTCCAGGGAGGCCATTCTAGATTAAGGGAAAAGAGAGGAGCATGAGCAACGGCAGGGAAGAGGAGTCTGGTTAGCCTGGGGAGTGCAGCTGAGCAACGGGGAGTCGCAGGAAGAGGCAGTGAAGTCAAAAGGTAGAGAGTCTGACGTCAGGCTCGTTAAGTCACAAAAGAACCCGAGGCCTAGTTAAGTCAGTAAAGACCCCTCTCTCCTCCCCTGAGGTTCCGTGGAGGGCAGAGGCGTCATTCCAAGTTGTTCTTCTGGAAGATTAATGTGGCAGCGGTACACAGACGGTCTGGGAGGGGACCACTTTGCCAGGAGAGAGGGGACAGACCAAGGCACCGGACCCAGGGTGGGTAGGGAGTGGAGGAATCTTGCAGGTCTTTCAGGACTGCTTGCTCAGAAATCTCATACTACTGGGCTTGGGGTCTTGGATTTGTTTCTTCTTCATCAGGAACATCTTAAAAAACAGCATATCCTGCGGGAGAGCAGCCATCCCTGGGCTACAGAGGGATTGTGGTCTGCAAGAGCACCCGCATCTTTTCACATGGCTCTTTCCTCTTCCTGCTCTGCCTAACCTCCTTTTTGATTAACACACTATTTTTTTTTTTTTTTGAAACAGGAGAAATAATCCTCTCTTGTGAATAATCAGGAACAGCGACAGGAACGGAGAGCGCTCATTTTAAATGTGCAGGTGTGTGAGGGACTCCTGGCGGCGACTCGTTCCGCATCCCTGTGCGGGGTCCTCGCTGGGCTTACCCTCTGTGGTGGTTTCAAAGGCGTGTTGGTTTCACCTCATGGAACCGCTTCCTTAGGAATCACTACTCAAGGATAATCTTAAATGCAGACAGAGGTACTTCTGAGAGAAGAGGCATGTGACTTTGAACCTCGAGAGGCCTGGGGCCCAACATCAGCTGCAGTCAGGGACTTTTCTGAAGCTTCATGTTAAGCATGAGACCCACATAAATGACTCCTACTCCACGACATCTCTTGTAATTACAAAATACTATTATGGAAAGAAAAAGAACAAACCCTGATGCTGTAGGAGGAGGCACCATATTGACCCTACGGCTTCACATGTCCTCTGGTCCCTGTGGCTTTCCCCCGTTCCGACAAATGAGGCCCTTCCTGAGCTAATTCTGTTTCCCGTAGGTGCACAGGTGAGCCAGAGACTGTCCATTTGCGGCACTAAGCACGCATTTGAAAAATTGCTCAAGAAGAACACATGTTCGAATCTAGGCTTACCAAACAGAATGAGGGAGAATTTGGGGCTGATGATTCTTTTAAAGCCAGAAGGGACCTGAGAGCTGCAGTTCGAGACTGGAGGTTCTCAAACTGCAGGGCGCCTGGGGAGCTTCGGAAAAGTACAGGGTCCCGAGGCCCTGTCCCCTGATGCCCTCATTCCCAGGGGCCCTGAAGCAGCCAGGAGTCTGCGGGATGTGGGAAAGGATACGCAGACATTCCCATCTCCTTGAGCCAAGGACCTAAAAGCATTAAGGAAGGAGACGGAAGCAGCAAGTGGGTGTAGTGCTTCTCCATGAGATTAAACCAAAAGAATCGGGATTCTGTGTATTATGATGCTGAAATTTTCATCATTTGTCTTAAGAAGTAACACTGAACCCTTCAGACCAGATGAAATGGGATTTCTCTTGAAAACTTTGGATGACTTCTTTCCAGGGGTAAATGGCTGGTTTTCTTCAGAGACCGTCCTTCCTCGCTGAGTGCAAACAGCTAGAGAGATGCCTGGATTTCTAGTCCTCGGTCATTCAGTGTGATGAGTGACAAAGGCATGCCACCTAAGTCCTTAATGCTCCCATGTCCTCTGTGCAACGCAGATGGTCACAAATCCCAGAATGACACTCGGAGGAGGGCACTGAGGGACGAGGAGCCTCCTCACGAGCCTGGATAAACGAGGCCTCGGCAACGCAGGGCCGCGGTACTAAACAAAACTGACGGCTGACTGATGGTGTATGCTCTACAGTTAGGGGTGAAAAAAATCCCCAGAACCACGATGACATATGAGATCATAAAGGAACATAAATATTTAAAGACAATGAAATTCACTCATCTTTCAGAACACAGTTCCCAGCTGCAAAGGCTACACTAAATCACGGCAGCAACAGTACTACTTGGAGGTGGAAAAAGGCTGCCGTAAGGTGCCCTAAGGAGAAGGGAGGAAAATGCCCCAAACTAGACAATTAGCATGAGCTTCTGTGACAGTCACTGGCACGCTGAAATGGAATCGTGCAACCCAAATGGGATAAATAATTGATCAGCACTTATGGAGGCCTCAGGAAAATGAAAGCTTGATCTTCGTCATCAAGTATTAAAACAGCAGCCACGGCTTCCAAGGTGCCACGCTTTACAACAGATAGCACTTGACTTAGCTGCCGGGATGGGACCGGTGAACACACATTCGAGTTAGAGACCCTTTTTGGCTTGGGACCTGTGGAGTAAGTCTCTGCACAGCCCCTCCTGTCAAAGGGCCCATTGCTAGCCATGGCCCGGAGAGCCCATTCTGGAAACGGGAGCACCACACCCCCGTGATGGGGGGAACCTTTTACAAGCGGTGGGTCTCCCCTTGTGGCTTCTCTCGCCCTTTGGGCACATGTTAATATTCATAATATCTAACTTTGAGCTCCGTTAACATCACGGACCCTTTGCAGTAGGTGCTGCAGCCATCCATGACTTACAGATGAGCGAACTGAGCTTTCAAGAATGTGACTGAGTTGTCTCAGGACTCAGCAGGAAGGACTTTGAACCCTTGACTCATGCCAAAGCTACCAGAATACAGAAATATCTGAAGCCGTAAAAAGCAAAAGTACTAATTTCGAAGAACACTTGTAGAGCTAATTCATTTTGAGGCATGATTTAGGAAATATGAATTTAATAAAATTCACATACTGACTTAACTCTCTCTGCCTTCCATTGTAATGAAACAAGCTAGTATTGTGGCAATTCAAAATTCATTTATACCCTCTGCAGTTATATTTGAACAACAGTGGATGTGATCTGGGAATTCGGTGCTCTAAACCAAATAACGAAGTCAGGAGTTACAGGGAAGCTTTCTGGCTTTTTCATGCACTTTGTCCCCTCTCTTTATTTCTCCCTTTTTGTCCCTCCAAGCTAGTAATGGACAAGGTGACCTTTCTTTCCAAAAGTCGGCTGCCCTTCTGATTCATTACTTCCTCAAGGAAGGGAGATAATTAAGTAATTTCATTGTAAAGACTTTCTCATCTAGTTCTTCCTGAGATAAAGATAGTATTAATATCAACAAGAGAATTAGGCTCTGAAGCTGACTTCTTAAATGTAAGTTTCAAAGGAAGAAAAATTTACCTGAATATAGCTTAGTATTAACCCTAGCTCCCATACTCCTCTCAGCCAATAGTTGCAGCACTTTGAGCTCTTAAATAAAACCCAGTAGCAGATGGGTCACTAAATTATCAGATAAAACATTCAACTCTTGTTTTCTTGCTCACTCAATAGTACATATGCTAATAAGCAGGGAAGTGGAAGGAGAGAAAAGAACTGAATAATCTATAAACTAGATAATCATCCCATAAATAATTGAGAGGTGGTGATAGCAGAAAGACTTAGAGAAGTAAATAAATACTCAAGGGATCAACTAAACTCAGATTCTAGTTGTCTTTTTACCCGCCCCCCCCCCCCCCCCCCAGCTGTGTGACCTTGGGCAAATGCTGGCAGCTCTTTGAACCTCTGCTTCCCATATGAAAAACAAAGAAGTTATAGCAGAGGCCGTTTAAGCACTGGGATTTGGGATTGTACAACCTTTACTGCATCCTCTGCCTGGTTCTCTGCCTTTAAAATCATGGGCTTCCCCCGGAATTAGCTGATCCTGATTTTCCCCAAGCCATTACCGCAAGATGCGACAGTGACGGACTTGAACCAGTTCTGAACAAGTGTAAACTCAGCTCCCTGTGCTTTCCAGACGAATAACAAA